GTGTGTGTGTGTGTGTGTGTGTGTGTGTGCGTGTATGATCCTTAGGGACAGATGTACTCAGATCTGAAACAGTGGAGGGCCGAGGCCTTCAGGATCCTTTGAAACTCCCAGGTGGAACCCAGGTGGGACACACATCCTGCATGGACCTTTCCTGCCCAGCCAGGATATCCTGTGTTTGTCAAAAGGACCGCACAGGGAAAGCCCTGACCATTGTCCTTCCCGAAATCTGCCAGTCAGCCCTTCCCCAGCCTGCGGCAGCCGCCCCAGACAAAGGAAGAGTAACTCTGGAAACTGTGTTATCAGCATCCTCCATGGACTTCCTCACCTCCTCCCCAGCCCCGTTCGCCCCAAGCTTCTTAGCATCCTCCAACAGGAACCGGGGAACCTGGGATGGGCTCAGCGCCCTGAAGCCAGCCCCCTGTCTTTTGCCAAGACCTAACCCCTGCGCAGCCTTGAGTGGGCAGCTGAAGGCTGTGGCCGGAATCCTGAGCCTGAGATGGAACCCCAGCTGGGGCCTACGGCTGCCAGCCTCTGCCCAGGCCGGCCGCACCTGCTGCTGTGGGTCTCAGCCCTGAGCTGTTGCGTTTCCTCGCTGGCTTCTCCCTCTCCTTCTCTGGTGCCCCGAATCAGAACCAGCTACAATTTTGGAAGGACTTTCCTCGGTCTTGATAAATGCAATGCCTGCATCGGGACATCCATTTGCAAGAAGTTCTTTAAAGAAGAAATAAGGTCAGAATCTCCATTAGCTAACGCGGAGGGGCAAAATTCTGTTCCCTTCATGTGATGATATCCAGGGGTTTACTGAAAAGGAGTCAGGATGTAATTGATGGGTGGGACCCGAGGCACAGCCATTGAATCATAGTGGTGATCGGTTGAAGTTGGGGTGCAGAGGGGGAGAAGGTATGAAGCTGAATTCTAACCCTAGATGCTGACTTCCAAGTTTTCTTTTGAGATGGGAGCTTAAAGTGTTCCTTCCCACGGATAGAGTAGCCTGGGATTATGGAGTTTACCAAGTTCGTTTCTCATAAAAAGAGGGAAATAAAATTGCTAGAAGGCGTACTACGTGACAGACATTTTAAAGCTATTTTTTATGTTTATTTATTTATTTTGAGAGACAGAGAGACAGAGACAGAGAGAGAGAGAGAGCCGGTGCGCGTGTGAGCAGGGGAGGGGCAGAGAGAATGGGAGAGAGAATCCCAAACACTGTCAGCGCAGAGCCCGACTCGGGGCTCAATCCCAGGAACCGTGAGATCACGACCTGAGCTGAAATCAAGAGTCGGACGCTTAACCGACTGAGCCACCCAGGAGCCACCAAGTTAGTTTTATTTACCCCTCGTCACCATCCTGGAAGTTACTGTGTTGCAACTCATTGTTCAGATAATTAACTGAGACACAGCAAGATTCAGTGACTCGCCCAAGGGCACCACCTAGTAAGTGGCAGATCTGGGATTCAGATCAGGGCAGTTTGCTCTCAAGTTCCTGAACCAATTTTCTGATCCAGAGGAAAAGCCAAGCTTAGTAAATGGTGGTGCACGGGGATCTCACCCAAGGATCGTATCACACTCTGGAATTCAAGCCTGTCAGCACATGGTCAGTGAGTCTTTCCCGCAACCAAGAGCCAGCAGGTACTCTAGGGACATCCCTAGAACTCTGGCCATGGCCCTCCAGGGGTGCAGGACGAGGGAGCTGTGTTACAAATAACAGTAATATGACCTGGTCTGATGCAGGCCAGAAGGGAACTGTAAAATGGGGACTGGGGAAGGGCTTCTCCAGGGGAAAGTATTCTGAGCAAGGCCTTTAAAGGAGGAGCTGAGATTCAGGAGAAGGGTTTGAGGTAGAAGGACCAGCGAAACAATGGCCCAGAGTGTGGGGAGAGGTGAGAAGCACTTAGAGGCTGGAACATGGGGCATATGCGGCAGAAGGAGGAGATTTGAAGAGACAGATGGGGTGGGGACCTTGAATGCCATGCCAAGGAATTGGGACCTTCACCTGTGGGCCAGTGTTTCCCTGCCCCTTCGATACTAAAGACCCTTCGTAATAGGCCTTTGCTCCTCAGCCCTCCCCCAAGGACCTATCTTAGGGTTAGCAGAAGGCATTCATTTACAACAATTTGATTTCCAGTCTGTATTAACCAAAGACATATTGGATGATTCCACTAAGGTACCAAACAGATATAACAAATAGAAAACATCGATTAAAAATGGGGAACTTCTTTTGTGAGATGACAGATACTGTATTGATGTGGACTTTTCCCATCAGGCCCCTTTTAAAGGCATTTTAAATGGTGAAACGTTCAAAGACCTTCCCAACTGTGGGAGCTCTTGCAGACGATGGTGAAGGAGTTTAGGGGGTAGGCACAAGACGTGCCTTGTGTTAGGGAAGAATCTGATGGAAAGCCGCGCGCAGGGGGAACTGGTGACTTCAGCTCGAGTCACGATCTCATGGTTTGTGGGTTCGTGCCCCGCTTCGGGCTCGCTGCTGTCAGTGCAGAACCCACTTGGGATCCTCTGTCCCCCTCTCTTTCTACCCTTCCCCCACTCATGCGCTCTCTCAAAAGTAAATAAAACATTAAAAAAAAAGAGATAGATCTCCCCCCTAAGAGACACGATGGAGAGGACCAAGAACAAAGGCGACATGGGGCTGATTCCCTAGAGAAAGGAGGCAGGGAGAATATGGACATATTTTCAGAGAGGAGGGAGGGAAATTATGGGATTCGACTAAAGGGGGGTCCCAGGTAAGTAAACAAGAGTATATGAATCTTACAGTTGACTCTTCACCAAGTGGCAGTAAATGAAGTTTTTCTCAGTGGGCAGGTATTAGCCAAATTCAGGAAGCATTTCCCCAAATAGGTTTGTGTTCATCCATTCAAGTTCAGGATATCACTTCAGCTCCCTCGGAATTTATTTTCTACGTGCGCCTGAAAGGGATATGTGCAGATACACACAGGAAAGCATGGGGGGTGGGGGGTGGGGCGGGCAGGTTGGGGTTGAGGGCTCTCCGCCTTGAGAAGGCACATTCCTCAAGCGCAAAGAAGCAGAGAGAGGCAGCGAGTGGGTCTCGTTTATATTCTTCACAATTTAAGCAACTGGTTCCTTATTTTAAAAGTCGTGCCTGTTGATTTTAGAATCTTCTGGCAATATTGATAGTAGAAAGCACAAAATGAAAATCGCGGACAATGCCTCCGCCAAGAGATCGTCCCTTAGTTAACATCTTGTGAGTGTCCTTGCCACCTTTTTTCCAAGTATGGATTTAACATTCTTTCCACACAACTGCGATCATCCTGTGTACACCCTTCTGCAAACTTTTCTTTAGCAATGTGTCCGGAACGCCCTTTCCACATTATTAACTCTTGTCTTTGACATCAGCCACAGAGACATTTTTCTAGCTATGTCTCCTTTGGCGAGGAAAACAAAAGTGAAATTAAACTATTGGGACGGCACCAAAATAGAAAGCCTTTGCACAGCGAAGGAGACCATCAACAAAACAAAACAATCCACTAAATGGGAGAAGATATTTGCAAATGATGTATCCACAATTAGATTTTTAATGGCTTTGTGGTATTCAATTGCATCAATCAAGCATAATTTATTGAACCAACCCATACTATGAGACAACTATGTTTTTTTTTGTTTTTCAGTCTTCTAAAACATTATGTTGAACATTGCTGTTGCTGGCTTTTTGTGCATATCAGTGATAAATTCCCATGACACATTCCCAAGGGTGGAATTTCTGGGTCAAAAAATACAGCACATTTTAAAGAGATTTTATACATGTATATTTCTCCAAATGGAGACTTCTGCTTCTGGAGCTCATTGATTGCACACTCACAAATATTTAATATTTGTACTTTTAGTATGTATTTCTTCTGAGTCGAGGCTTTTTTTTTTTCGGGCTTACTGGCTGTTTCTATTTCTCGTTCGCTAAATCGTCTACAAGTTCACATCGTTTGCCTCTCTCTCTAAATGGTGTGTTCATTCGCCTCGTTCATCTCCAAATATTTTCCCGCTTTTAACAATTATTATGATGATGGGGGGGCCTGGGTGGCTTATTCAGTTAAGCATCCGACTTCGGCTCAGGTCACGATCTCGCAGTTTGTGGGTTCGAGCCCCGCGTCGGGCTCTGTGCTGACAGCTCG